ATGGGGTGTAAACAGTTTGTTTTCTAGCCAAATCACTTAAAATTGATATTGTTCCTACCAGATGCCTAACAGACTCAAATCTTGAATAGTCTTCAAACTGACAGACTTCTGAAATTCTTTCAAGAAATTACAAGCAACAAAACACGTTGAAGCTGTACTCCAAACTCTAAACCGCCTGCGTCAAGTCTCATTGGCTTAACAACCCTTCAAGTTGTCATCATGTGGTTAGTCCCAACGTAAGATTCGAGACATCACACAATACTCAAAGGCAAAAGATTTACAAATCAAATCCCATTTCTTGGTTAACATCATCTGCGAAGGCATATCTACGCACCAAGCTTTGAAAACTTTTGGGGAGTCAAGGATCACAAGCTAGTCGGCAGCTTAATCTTCTACCGCTTGCTCTTGATCTTAACCAGAGAAAGGCAATTGATGATATAGAACTTAACAATATAATAATTTAATAGCCTTAAACATTGTTGGTAACCTTACAACTATTTTGTCCATGCGAATGCTAGATAAACAACAGGAGCACACAAAAGACGAGTGATTTAATTACCAAAACCTAGTGCCTCCCACTTCCTCAACAATTACAGTGGACTCTTAACAACATTTCTACAGGCAAAACAGAACTTGGGGGATAAATAACATCAAAATAGATACAACACTTTCTGTTAGTGAGATTACTCCTTTTTTTGTGATGAGCGATCTTGGCGTTGTCCACCAAGAACACGCGAAATCTGCGAACCTTCGCTGAAAGCTTGGTTGAAAAGCATGCGAGTCTGAAACTCAGACACAAACGGAAACCAGGCCAAGAACGCAACAGGAGTAAACAGAAGTGAACCCATTATAATCTCGTATCCTCGTGCAAGTGCCTTTATCAATCCCCAAAACCCAATATAACCTCGTATCCACAGGCAAGTGTCTTTGTGAACAAGAGGCTTCAATGCTTGAGCAATCTAGTAAATCCAGGGAACAGAAATAGAAAGAAATGAGTGGGTTACCAGTATAGAGCTTGGATTCATGATCACGACATTACAATGCCACTACATCACAGTGAAAATGATGCACCAGTCACCAAACTGGAGACATGCTACTAAAGTGTGAAGATACTTAAGGTAATTTAGAATGCATATGCTGGAAATAAAAATTGACTAATAACAAAATTGTAAGGATTTTAAGTGTTAGAACAAATGATCTTAAGTCATTTTGCAGCAATTAGTTCTCTATTCATTTAAGTGTTCGGTGCATTGGACTTTTGATATTTTACAAAAGAACTTAAATTAGCAATAAAAACAAGGCACCCTTCCAAAACATGTAAAATCAGGGTAAATATTGTGCGTCTAACACCGCACTCATATGCCCAGAACCAGATTTGGACTTGAGCTTCAAAATATGTTATTCCATTTTAAATTATGAATCTTGGTATAAAAAGCCATCACTCTATCAGTGCATAATTTCAGTAGGAGGAAGAGGGCATAAAGGTACTTACCAATAGCACGCCCCAACCTGTAGGCATCAAAGCAAGAATGCACACAATGATGTCTTCAATTGTCATGTGACAGAGTGCAATCAAGATAACCGGAAGAGAAATAAAAGTCAGGAATATCACTCCGTTGATTAGCCGGAAGACAAGTTGATAACTTGCACTGAACGATCTCCGCCCAACAGATCCAACCTGCACAAGAAAAAAGGCAGAGTTTAAGTCATAAGAAAAACAAAGAGCTCGCTGTGTATGCTTTAATAGAAAGAACAATTATGCAATGAAAAAAGTCAGAACTGACTCATTATCAAGTATGCCAGTCTCCTCAAGCATATTGTGACAAACAAATAGGGAGATGAAACTATAAGAGTCTTACAAGAAATTTCTAGATCATTGTGTAATATGCTGTTATAAAATGACAACGTACCATTCAGCAATTTGATTTTGGATGTCTCATCTGTTGAACAGTTCTCTAGACAAATGTCTAAATCAAATGTCATTTAAGTAAATAAGGTAAACAGATGATGTTCCAAAATCCTCTTTCCTCTTTCTCCACGCAAAAAGAATTTGAAACCACTCACTTTTTCATGAAAGAATTACTTCTTTTTAATATGGTGGAAAAAAGTTACAAATAAAGATATTCAAACAACACATAGGAGATTTACCTTACAAGCACAAGATCAGAAAAACACAAAAAGAAAACAATTCATACTGATGGCTTCCATGTCTATTGCTATCATCAAGAAGATACACATTGCATGAAAGAAGCAGGGACCAAAATGGATCCAATTATACCAAGGACAACAATTGAACAACATTGCGGCTTACCCTCATTATAATCAATATCAGAACAATAACCACCCATGATCCACCATAAACCTGTCACCAAGTGAGAGAAATAATGTTAAGACTTCTGCGGCTGGCATTATATAAAATAAAGTTGGATACAAAAATAACTGGGGACGAAAACATACCAAAAAGCTGTTGGTGTGCTTTGTAATATTTAGGTGATATACAAGCCCATACTGGTAGATAAAAAACCGTAATGCTAACAATATCTCAGCTATGATACCACCCATTCCAGAATGTCGAAGATGCTCTTGTTCTTCCTCCCACCATGATTCCCAACTTTTTTCTGGTGGTACACCTATGCCCCCTCGGTTAGTTATCCACTTGTTCCAGTCAGTCCAGTCATCAACAATCTTTTGCCACTCAAAACCCGAAGTATTGAAAAGGAAGGGAGCAAACAGCCATGTGCCCACCATAAACCACATAGAAATAGTGATCAGAACATTAGCGATTGCACTTCTGTTAGTATGACCAAACATCTGGTATACAATAAGTAAGATCATCATCTCAATTCCCTTGACAAAATGGCTACGTGAGTATAGTCTGTAGTTATCAGCAAATTTGGCATGGAACACCACAAACCCTCTACCAGTGGGCCTATATCTTGCACCTCCATGAAGTAATGTCCTTCCATAATAGTGTGTTTTTGTTCCCAGGGAGAATGTGAAAAACACAGGTGCCAATTGCAATTGCATTAATATAAATTCACTAAGGGCAATTCGGAGACCCCTTTCCAAGCCAATTTCCATCAACATAGGCAAGGCCATCAAGAAACCAATTTGAACAAAAGACTGAGAAGCAAGAGCCACTTGAAGAGGCTTATTGTCTCTAATTGCTGGCTGCTGACTCAAGCTTTCTTCAAGTCCGCTCAGTACAAGATAGAGGCGACCATAAAGGAACACATACACAGTGAGAACAGTTATCTGGCAGACCAAAAAAAAAAAAAAAACCGCTCAGAGCATTGAGTAAATAATTTAAAATGTCAACAAGAATCAGGAATTTGCAAAATACCAGACCACTGAAGTAAAAACCAACAGTGGTGAAATAACATGACAACATCCTGAAAAAGTCAAATCGATGTCCAAGCCAGTATATATCTCGACTCAATGTCTGCTCCCCATTTCCATTAGCTATTTTGGCCTCAAACATAGAAATCTGATTGAGACCCACATCCCTTCCCTTCCCAACTTGTATGTACTCATGATGAGTAACATTCCCTTCTCGAAGCGTGGAATTGAAACCTTGAATTGGAAGTGAAAGATGAAACTTATTAATTCAAGACAGAGTCACACAGCAAAAATAAGGTACATAGAAAAGAGGAAACACTCAATACCAGCAAAAATGTCTTCACTCAAATTGATGACTTTGGACGCTTTACTAACACCCCCTCTTGTGAGATGAAAGAGCCTATCAAATACATCTGGATGACCATAGTGGAACCGCACCCTGGACAGAAACAGTCATGTAAGAGATCTGTGCATAATCATGAGAATGACTAGGAGAATAAGACTGAAGAGCCTCCCCCAAGGCAAACCCCTCTTATCGAACTGAAAATATTATCCTTTGTTTTGTATTACTTTAAAGCTTTCATTTACAAGATCCACCGTCAAGATGCATTCATATTTAGCACCATCAATGGCACAGCAAAACTAGTTGAAGTCAATGTTTTGCTGGAAAGGGAGAATCTGTCATATGTAGGGTGGCGAAATCAATAAATTTAAAGCATAGTAATAACAATCTAACCATCAATAATGATTTGGCTTTTTCCAAAAAAGACTTTTTTTGAAAGCACAAATAAGTCCTCATCTAATGATAGACCAAAGATCTCAACCCCCATCCACCCCAGTAAATAAAACTTAGCATGTAAGAGAGGTTGAAGTAATATCAACTTACTTTAAAGGGTTGGCTAACAATCTCTGGCCAATCGTAACAAAACTTGTCTCCTGATTTGACATGAGCCAAGCAATAGAAGAAACGCTGCTCCAAGTAGAAGTTTATCTTCAATAAGCAATCATCAGAAACATGAACAGAATGAAGTTGTCAATCAGAGAAAAACAGAATACCACCCACCTTCCGGTAAATATATGTTCTCTAAGCCCAAGAATTGAAGGATATCTGAGACCATCACGCTCAAGAAATTCTTGCAACAAATTTCTCATTTTTAAGGCCTCTTCCATGTAATTATCCTACAGAAATGAAAACTTAACAAAATGAAAACTGGCAAAATGGAGATTATTTATTACCTCAGTTAAACATAACATAACAATCATAAACACCTGGTTCATATCTATAGTCTGCAAGCCTTCTCCACGCGTGAAAATAATGGCATGATTTTGGTTTTCAGATTTTCCTTCACCCAAAATGGCAGGTCCTGGAAGCTTTATCCGATAAATGACCTGTGTGTGGACATCAAGAAAATCAAATGAAAGAATTATGATGCTGAAATGCAATAATATATGTAAAAACAGAAAAATAAATAAATTTAACAGAAAATAAATATTCATAGCATCCTACGCATTAAAATTAGGAATATTACAAAATCCTCTACATAATTGTATTAACCCCTAACATGGGGCATTGAATGGAATACAAATTCTGACTTACCTTCCTAAAAACATTTTTGAGGATATGTTATTCAAATTCCATAAGAGCAGAACAGTATCCCATAAATAGTTAAAAGACTAAACAGGTACATTGATGTTGCAGTCAATACTCCCAGAAAATAACACCATAGACATTCTTTCACCCCTAGCAGGGTGCTTTTCCCAAAACTAGAGGAAAGGAAAAGTATTACTTCATAGGTTCACATCTAATCAGTGAAAGGGAGGACTTTTAGATATATGGAAAACGTAGGCTCCTCTATAGCTTTTAGCAAGTTTCAATACTTCAAACAAGCTACTTCAAAAACCAATTGAATCATCAAAACTTCTCTTCACAAGGCAGAAAAAACAAAGGAATACCCTTACAAGAAAAAAATAGAATAAAAGCAGCTCAGTAAATACCAAAACAAATTGCAGTGAGAATATTGTTCCAGAGAATAAATGGCAGTGTGGTTAACCCCACTAAAAGTGGGCATATCAAAGTTTCTTAAGAACTGCACAGATTGTTATAATAGCTCAAGGTGTTTCTCAACCTTTGAAGATATTAGGATTTATCTTAAGCTTAAGACTTATGTTATAATAAACGAAAGTATAGCTACAAGCCATAGAATATGGAATCAACTACTAAACTGTGAGCAACAACTTCAAATCAGACCAAGCATTACCTGGTCTAAATTTTGTGTTGAGTCTGAAGCATCACTGGACTTGGGGACAGCCTTTACCAGAGCAGAGTAATAAACCTTGTCATGTATCTTCTTGGATTTGTCTTTATTAGGTTCTTCAACTTCATCAATATAAGCCACACGAAGGGATGGATATCTGCCAATGACAAGAATCCATCAATG